TAATATTACCGGAGATATTCAGATTTTCGCTCAGATTTCAATTTTCTTAAATAAAACAAAAATTGTAGAAATCTGAACGAAATTCTTCGTATCTCCGGTAATATTGAAAGCGCAAAAAAAAGGCAGACCACATTTTGAAAATGCTAAGACTAGTGGTATTTTGTGATAATAAACTTTTGAATTGTATCGTTAAAATAAGGCCAGCGAATCAATGCCGCAAGTTATTTCAAAGCTCAAAGACGAGCTTCAATTCGCTTTACTATTGTTATGTTTCGGGAGACACCCTGTAATGTAATCAAAGGAAAATGGCTGCGATCATGAAAATGAAAGGAAACAGGGAAGTTTTTTCACTATTATGCATGGCGGCTTAAAGGGAGTAGGCCTCCATTTAAAAAAGAGGGACATGTCCGATTTACAACCTTTGAAAACTTTATTATCATGTGGAACCTTGACAAGTGTATAATTCTAATAATTACTCTATTGTTCTTGAAGCAAGAAATGCGCAAGTCACTTTTTAGGGAAAAAAACAAATGAAGTAAATCAGTTTTTACTTTCAAGACATAAGTAATATTAGTTCATACCTGATCAGACAAAGCTTTCAAGGGTACTGTCCTGAATCAGACATGCCACTTTAACGATATCAATGAAGATTGAAGGGTCACTTGAAATTACGTTTACGTCTATAATTAGTGCAAGAAAATTTAAAAAAAACTAGAAAATTCAAAATTTGCTGAATCATTGTTTCCACCCTTACCCCTGTTCAGTTTGCGGGATGTTAAATTACTTAATTGTCCCACGGGATGATTATATAACAATGTGTCTCGCTCAACTAATTTGAACTAATTTTAAAAAGAACGGTTGGAATCCTTAACTTTACAGGATTAAAGGGACTGTTAGCGTAATTTCAAGTGACCCTTCATGTTCAATTTACAACGGTACCCTGGAAACCTTGATCTGATTAATAGTGTGAAGATATTGTATTTTTTAGGTTTCACGGCAGTTAGTCACTTTGGTAGTGAAGCTAAAATTTAAAATAATAAAATTTAAAAATTATTGACATTAAAATATAATTATACGTGATCAAGCTTTTAAGATTACCGTTGTGAATCGGGCATTATTATTTTTTACAGACTTTCACCAAACATTACGCCTAGCACAGTCCCTTTAAATATCTAGCATTTTGATTCATCTTATCTAAGTAACATCTGATAATTTTCAAATTAAGAGTTTTGGTATATCTTTAAGGGATAATACAGGTTCATCTAGCATTTTGGTTTAGCTCTTTTTATAAAGTTGTAATCTCTGTTTGAATTTCCGATCATAACTCATGAAACCCCGGACTGATTTGCCTCAAATTTTGATTTTCAAGAGAACCACGGGAATGTTCCTAGCTTGGTTTCTGCAGATTCTTAGTTTTAAAGGGAAAACTAGGTAAAATCATAATTTAAGACCAAGTGCGGGTAAACGGCGGAAGTAACTATAAGTACCTTGGGCAACGCTGGGTTCCCAAGTCTCTAATAAGCATGATTTGATGATAGAGGGATTCTACGCATCCACACTGTCGATATAAAACAAACGATAGTTTTTAAAATTAAAGGCTGCGTGTCAATTTGAGGACAAAATTTAATTAATTTCGATAAGTAGTTGAACTACATAGACTAAGTTGAACCTCTGAAGTTTAACTATTTCTCGGTATCATTACATTTGGTCTCGGGACACTAAATAAAAGATGACTCTACGGAGTGAAGAGTTAGAGAGAGTTTTTTATGCTTAGTAATAAATGATAAGAAACATGCCAGTGTAGTCAGAGCAGTTGGAGCGGACGCTATTGTTATGTTGTCACAAACAAGAACACTTTAATCCAGGACTGATATAAAATTTTGAATTAATTAAAAGTCTGAATGGACTTTACAGTGTCGCAAGAAAGATTTTTTTGAATGACAAACTAAATATTTAAATTTCTTTTGAATTTAATTGCAATATTGTTATAAAGGATTATCAAATTTAATGTTTTGTAATTTTTGTAAATAAAGCGCAAAGTTTACATTGACACGAACGTGTATTTCAATCAAGGTTGTAATGCAAGGAAAGTTAATTGCGGTCGCGTATACTCTGCGTACATATTAAAACCAGTTCTCTCTGGGCGGAATTTGTAAACAAAAATAGATGCATCAGTGTTCGTTTAGTATCCGAGGAGGTTAAAAGCATTAAATTTTGATAATTTACATAATAGTTTCATATGACCAGAATATTTCATTGATTTTTATGTGAAAGATGGATTCCATGCCAGGCTTCGACATCCGTCTTGTGTTTACATTACCGCCCACAGACAGTACACTGCAGTACAAAATATGCGTGCACCTCTGAAATAACTTTTCTTGCATTATTACCTTGTTTCAATGCCCGTAAATGTTCTTTTCTTTTAACCTTGATACCAATTAGTGGACCCATGTTGCAATGTTGTTCTAAAGTATTATCATATTTAGTGTTATGTAATTTTGGCAAATAAAATGCAAAGCCGTGTATTAGACATTATCAAATGACCGGGTTTTTTGCAGCTTATCATTGTTTAAGAAAAAGTACTCTAATGTGGCTGTATACATAATTTCAAGTGGATCTCAATAAAACGAATGGTATGTTCGATTTACAATGGCACTAATATACAGAGTGTCCCATATCATATTAGATTATCATCAAGCTTTAACGCCAAAATATGCACACATAATACTCGAAAAACCTAGTATTTTCTGCAAGAAAATGATTCATTGTTTTTAAATTTTTTGGTTAGTCCTAAAATCACAATTTTTAACTATACACGATCTAATACGATGTGGGACACCCTGTACCTCTTTATGCATTACAATGAGACCTTAGTCACAGAATAAATGTTCATTAAAAAATTTTCAGAAAAAAGTAATATCTTATTTTCTAGACAATGTTTGAAGGGTTCAGTTGTGCAACGGACAATGGACAAAGGACAACGGACAATGGACAATGGACAATGGACATGCCATTCCAAAAAAAGAAGGTCACTTGAAATTACATCGACAGTTCTTTAAACAAACGTTAAAAACAAAAACTATTCAATGGGCCAAAGACGCTCAACATTTTTTCAAATGGACATAAAGATAAGATAAATTGACATTTGAAAAAAATTTAATTTGTTTAGCCTATGTTACCCCCATGGTACTCAAGGGTTCTCTCAAAATATTTCAGCCCATTTGGTCCAGGTGTTAGGCCCCAGTCAGGACATTTGGAGGAAAATGTACTATAGATTCTAACATGTGTATTTAGCTTAATCAACTACACTGATCATTGTTGTTATTAGGTGCAGTGCTTGGAAAAGGGAGATGAAAATAAACCAAAATTTCATGGTCTATTTCTAGGTCTATTTGGGTTATAAAAAGAATTGTAACTTTTTCTTCACCTTAATCATACATGCTAAAATGGTGAATGAAGACAACTTCTCATAAACATACAGTACTCCCCAAAATAAAATGGTAAGCATTGACAACTTTTCAAAATATCCAAAATGATATGAAAATGTAAATGATTTTTCAATGCTTACCATTTTATTTTGGGAAGCACTATATTTCTAAAACCCAAATAGACCATGAATCACCCCCACGAAATTTTGGTTTATTTTCATACCCCTTTTCCACGTACTGTGCCCCTAATAACAACAATGATCAGTGTAGTTGATTAAGCTAAATACACATGTTAGAATCTAGCGTACATTTTCCTCCAAATGTCCTAACGGGGTTTGGCCAGCTATAGCTCACATAGATATAAATATAAGCCAAGATCTTAATCATATAGATTAAAAATATTCAACAACTTCTTTAAAATTTATAAAAATATAAAACTACTTCAAAGTATGCAATTTTGTTCTAAATATTTGTCCAAAAAGTATTTAACAATCATGTCACTTTCAATTCACCCAAACACATCATTAGCCCACTCAGTTTTTTACACTAGATAGATAGATAGATAGATAGATAATTAGATAGATAGATAGATAGATAAGTAGATAGATAGATAGATAGATAAGTAGATAGATAGGTAGATAGACAGATAGACACATGTCAAAAGGAAAGACTAAGAAAGCCCAACACTAGGCATTTAAGAGGTGTTTAGAAGCTGCAAACATGATTTTCTTATTCTATTTTAAAGGGACTGTTTCTCTTTCTATTTTAAAGGGACTGTTTCTTTTTATATTTTTAGAGAAATCTTATATTATCTTCCGTGGGTGAATTGAAATTTGAAACTTGACAGTATTCAGAGAAAAATCGATAAGAAGGATTTGAGTCTTTGCCACAAAACTGTGATTTTCTAATCCCTATATTCTTGCTAACCAACTGAGATTTTTAGACCTAAGATATTTCAAGCTTTAAATTCTGTTGAATCAAATAACTAAAGTTTAAAATATAAAAGGTTTGCACCATCAGATTGTAAAATAAAGGGATTAGCAAATCTTTGTTTCTGGCAAGAGTGGCAAAGACTCAACTCCTTTTGTATAACAAAACATCACCAAATTTTAAATGTTCCTACCACTCTATTCTATGACAAAAATGTGGCAGTTTCTTTTATTTTATATATTTCATAAATCGTGGAATATATGCAGTTCATTGAGTCTCAGATGTTATACAAACTAAGGAACCCAACTTTGCATGGAGTTTACCCTAGAAAAATCGACCCACTCTGCACTTACAACATTCCCATGGTTCTACCGAGTTCCTCAATAAAAAATTAAAGCAAGTCGGTCCTGGGGTGCATGAGTTATGATCGGAAATCCAAACCAACAAATGGGAGATAACTTCTACAAATAATAAATATATAGAATAAGAAAAAAAACAAAATTAAATTAAAATATTGAGATTTCTGACAAAATTTGGAGACGGGATTAAAAATTTATATTAAAGAATTATTTTTCAGTATAATTTAAAAGTTACTTATAAGTAATTGTGTAACCATACTGTTTCAAACAAAATGAAGATACTTGTTATGACAAAAAGAATGTGAAACATTTTTTTTCAGATAATATGTCCAGTGCTGGGCCTCCTGGTTCTATGGTACGGAAAAAAAGTCTCAAGAAAGAGGATCAAAGTAATACTGTTGAAATAAATGTGAGCAGAAACGAATCAAGTTATTTAATCGATCCACATGATCAAATAAACTATAAAAATGATTTGATAGATCACACTGCCGATGAAATTGATCCCAACGACGGGATTGATGAGAGTGGATCTAATGGTGACGCTACTGATCATGATGATCATGATGAGCAAAATGATGCCGATCATAAAAGTGAAAAATCAAGTGTACAGAAGAAAAATAAAAATCAGAATGAGCTGAGGTGAAATTTAATGGAATTTGGATAGTAAAATAATCAATTTTATTTTAAACAAATCATTCAGATATTACAACCTCGTATTCGTATAAAGTTAATATTTCATAATATTTTTTATTCGTTTTGTATACAATGCACTTTAAACGCCGAAATAGTTGGCCGCCAGATGTCTCTGCCCGATCAATGCTTTGAATAATTACACGTGGCAGAGACACCTAGAGAATAAAAGTCGTTTTAAGTGCATTGTATATAAAACAAATAACAAATATTATGAAATATTAACTATATATATACGAATGCGTCGAAAAATAATCGATGTCCTAAGGTTGTAATATCTGAATGATTTGTTTGAACTTTAATTGATTATTTTACGATACGAGTGGTATCTTGCAATTTTCTGTATTTGTATGGACGCTACGTTCTTCAGTTTAAGTAGTTTTTAACAATTTTCTCACGCAACAGATAGAAGTAAGATTAGTAGCGATCAAAAGTGATTATTTTTCGCCGTAAGCCTATTTTTTCATTTTTCGCGAACTCTCCCTTTAAGTGCAATTTACTTTAGTTTGACGTGAGCCCCTTAGTCTGCCATTTTCTGCAGTGCTCTACCCTTGAGGCACCACAGAAGGCCGAAATCTAATCCTAAAAATGTGACGAGGATTTTTTTCATAAAGATAAAATTACGGTCCTAATGAAAAAATGGTTTAGTGGCTTCAGTCCTGGCAGTCCTTCTCTACTTGTCAAAACTAAATTTTTTGAATGGAGGTCATTTTTAGCTCTGATCTTATATTTTAGAAGTTCCTGTGGAATTTGCGGAGCTCCTGCTGCTGATCATCTTCACTACGGAGCTTTCTGCTGCTACAGCTGCAGAGCTTTCTTTCGGCGTTCAGGTCGTTTTTTCTAATCTAAGCTTTTTTCGGCGTTTAGGTCATTTTTCATAATCCAAGCTTTTTTCGTTGTTCAGGTCATTTTTCATAATTCAAGCTTTTTTTCGTTGTTGAGGTTAATATTTATAATCTTTAAGCTTTCCTTCGTTGCTCAGGTCATTTTTATAAACAAGACTGGGGTACAGGTTATAAAAGTGTTTTAAGCATTTACAGTGGCGGATATAAGGGGGGTTATTGGGGTTATTTACCCCCCCCTAGAATCCTGGGGGTAAATACCCACCCCTAGAATCCCGGGGGTAAATACCCCCCCCTAGAATCCTGGGGGTAAATACCCCCCCCTAGAATATATTTTGTACATTGTACAAATGTATTTTGTACATTGTACATATGTATTTTGTACATTGTACAAATGTATTTTGCACGTTGTACAAATGTATTTTTTACATTGTACAAATGTATTTTGAACATTGTGCAAATGTATTTTGTACAGTGTACAAATGTATTGTGTACAACTGTATTTTACACATTATACTACTGTATTTTGCACATTGTACCAGTACAAATGTATTTTGTTCATTGTACAAATATATTTAGTATGCTGTACAAATGTATCGGTACATTGTACAAATATATAAAGTATATCGTGCAAATGTATTTGTACATTGTACAAATATAGTTAGTATGCTTTGCAAATGTATTTATACATTACACAAATGTATTTGTGCAATGTAAAAATATATTAAGTATATTGTGCAAATGTATTTGTACATTGTACAAATGTTTTTTTGTAAATTGTATTAACATTTTTGTATGATATACAAAGGTACCTAAATGCATGGCTTTTATATGTACAATATGAAAAAAATTATAAACATTGAAGATTTTGCAGTATGTAAATGTTTTTAAATGCACCAAACGTACTTTCAAATTACTTATGATAGATGACCCACAATTGAAAGATTCGAAACTTTCTGATCTAGGATATTTACTATATATATATATATCAACACCAAACAAAGGTTTAAAGAATTCTTTGTGAATCGGGCTTTTAACTTTTACAGGGAGGGTCAGTGGTCACTTCTAATTATTTTGACAATCTCAATACGATGTAATTTTTTAGAAGCATGAAGACCATACTTCTCTCCCCCCTGTATCAACAAGCTCTGACATAACTAAATCCATTGTTGTTTCTGATCATCAGACAGCAGCATCACCACATTCTACAGTAACATCGCCAAAAGCAAACCCGCAATACAGGTCTAAACTGGAACAACAAAAACTTCCTCAGGTTCCAAGGAATGTATCTCCAGTGATTGAAAAAGCTTTTGAAACAACTACAGGCATTGGCATCAATCATTCAGACACAACCCAGTTTTCTCATAACACGAACCAGTCATCTGAGAAAACGCACCATTTTTTTTCAAACACAAACCGGTCATCTGAGAATGCAAGCCAGCCACCTGAGAAAACAAACCAATCATCTGAGAAAACAACCTGGTTATTTGCAAACACAAGCCGGTCATCTATGACTAAAAACCGGTCATCCCAGAATACAAACCAGTTAATTGCAAAGACAAGACGGTCATCTGAGAATTCAAGCCAGTCATTTGAGAACGTAATTAGGTCATCTAGGAATACAAACCGTTCATCTGATAATACAAACCAGTTATTTGAGAACAGAATCCGGTCATCTGAGAATACAAACCAGTTATTTGAGAACATTATCCGGTCTTCTGATAATACAAACCAGTTAAGCGAAGAAAACCTATTTCACCCAGAGAGTTGGCAAACTAAAGCAAAACAACTAAACCAAAACACGGGAAGTACTTCTTTCAAAGTTATCTCAGAAACAAGCAAATCGTATAAAAATTGGCACAATAGGGAAACATCAACAAGACTTGATAAAGGTTATGAGTCTCTAAAAAAAGAAGAATATTATATCGATAGCGAGCAGACGATTGGATATCCGGACTTCTATATTTCTCACCATGAAATATCTTCACTTATGTCAGAGACTGAGAATCCAGCAATTAATGAAAACTCTAGGACTGAAGCTCTTGATCTTGTAAAGAGGATTCCTGAAGATGACCTCTCCAGTTATTTAATGGAAGTAGATTCTCATCCAATCCGGCCTTATAGTTCACAGGTGGAAATTAATAAAGATTTAATTAAAACTTTCAAATTTTTATTTTTAGCTATTTGCATTTTTAAAATTGTATTTTACTTTTCCAGATGGGAATGATGGATGGCAATCTTTTCCAACCATTATCTAGGTACATTTAGTCTGGACATTTTAATAATGATTTAAGTTTGTGTAGACTAATGAGGGTCTATGAAATACTGTGGATTTCTTTCACAATGATACAAAAGTAAAAGATGTATGTAGTTTATAGGGAAAACAATAAAGGATTGGGAGTGGATTGGTAAGACGACGCTTATGATTTGTAATGAGCACAACAATTGTGAAGTGTAGACAGACCCATTTTAACAATTAAGTTGATTTTGCAGCTATAACTGGTAAATTTATATGCTTTTTATAACAACATCAAATACACAAGATTGCATGAATCTTGTCCTCTTATTCTACAGTTTTTTATATGGGTTCCATTTTTGTAAGGCTTTTTTAACAAAAAAGCTTTCGTCGCTAACTTATTTTTTTACAGAGTGTTAAAAAGTCTTTACAATATTTTTGAATTTATTTTTATCTTTTATTTTTTTACAAAAGGATTTTGAAGTGCCAAAAACATTTAATGATTTATTTGCGAAACCCCCTCGGACTCAGACAGATTTTCATATAACCTTGGAGTTACAATGATATTCTATAAAAATATTTAATATATTTAAGAGTTTAAGAAATGTTGCCCTGCATATGTCAAGGCAAGGATTGATGCTGTTATTAACAGCTGTAGTACATGTATACAATATACTTTAAAGGATGTGTTCACTTTATTCAAATAATAATATTAGAAGTTGGACCTTTTCTTAAATAAATAAATAGATTTCACAATTATGTAAAATTTAAAATTTTCATCTAACAAAATCTGCTTGAGCACCGGCATCAAATTCACCTTAGCAGAATCATACATCAAAATTTGCTGACACGCGTAATATGTAAAATGTTTTTGCAGATTTTCCCCCATTAATTGTTTTCTTTAGAATTTGCTTAGAAGCTGGGATGAAACCGGCTCTTGTTGACAAACATCTTCGGTAAACAAGTTTGCAGTACAGTGAGCATGCGCAGTTGGCATCATCAATATTGGAATTAAGCCCACCGCACACCGGTGTGGTGTATTTAAAAACTATAAGAAAGAAATATTTAAATCAAAACAAAAATTCAAAATTTTCAAAAAAAATTATTGAACCATTAAATGTTGGAGAATTTACATATGTCCAAAACAGATATAAAAGATGTCATCTTATTCCCATTTTTTTACATATTATACTATTATGCCATGCTGAAGTCAGATTAGAAAATCATTTTTAAAAATATTAAAAGATGAAATAGCTAATGTAAAATATCAGTTTAAAGAAACTGCCTTTAAACGTATGTAACAGGGTGTCCCACGAAACATGACAGTTGGTGAATAGTTTCTTCCATAATATGTCAAGTTGTTTGTTACCAAAGAGAATAATAATAAATAATTTATGGCATCCATATTATAGTAAAATTGATTTCTAAGTAAAATATATTTGAGTAAATAAACTGAAAAAAAGTCTTTCATTTCTAATACAGTATATCAAAGAAGACATTCAAAACTATTCACCAACTGTCACGTATAGTGTATGTCGTGGTAAGTTTACATGTGCCATAGATTTATTGGAATGATAGATAGGACACTAGATGTCATCTTTTAAGGATTTGGATGAAACTCGTTCAGATTAACCCTGAGGTAGAAGCCCGGAGGAGCTTTGCGCAGTCGGCGTACAACAGTCTCTCTCTGTCTTGGGCTTCTGCCTCAGGGTTATTGTGAACGAGTTTCATACAAATCTTTAAAAGACCACATTTATTGTCCTATCTGTTATTAAAATTAAACTATGACGTGTTCATTTACCAAGGATTTAGTTTTTAAAAGCAAAGACATTTTGCTGAAAGACCAAAGGGGAAAACAACATTATAAAATAGCTTTCTGTCCCAAATCCATTTTGAAACGTCATTGGTGAAAATAAGGCAAAGCTGGTGCAGTGTGCACCCCCCCCCTTTCCCAGGCGTACCTTTATCATACTTTTCTTATAGAGAGAGAGAGCGGAAAAAATCCCTTGGATTAGAAACCTTGGTATCGTCCAATGAAAAACCTAAAAAATCTCCGAAAATAAACAGCAAACCTGTTCAACGAACAAAGTTCTACGCACCGGTAAGAAAATATATATATTACATATTATATAAAAAAAATATGAGAATATTTAGAGTGTTCCATTAATAATGACATTTAGAGACGACTTACAAATCGTATTTCAACTTTCGAGTGACAATATTTTTTTATCAAAAAAAGCTTTCCATAAAGTGTAAAGTTACCTCTGTTCATAATTTTGAGCAAAATATTCGAACATTCGAAATGCTTTTGGTTTTTCGATTTTACGAAGCATAAACAATGAAGAATATTGTGGATTTCAAGTTACAAAACCGACATTATGTTCGACATTGTGATCAGATATAGGGGTAAAGGGTATCCTGATGAATATGGCTCAGCTACATTTTGCCTAGTCACAATTTGCCTAGTCACATTTTGCCTAGTCACATTTTGCCTAGTCACATTTTGCCTAGTTCACTTTTGCCTAGGTAACATTTTGCCTAGGTAACTTTTTGCCTAGTTCAAGTTTGCCTAGTAACATTTTGCCTAGGGTAACATTTTGCCTAGGTAACGCAAGAGCATGTTTTTTGCCTAGTCAATATTTTTTTATAAAAAACAAATTTTGTCAAGAATTAAACATTTTTTACGCCAAATACAACATTAAACCGGTTTTATGAACTAAATTCTGTTGAAAAATAGATGCAACTTAAATTCGAAAGCTCGAGCCTTAAATAAGGCTCAACAACAGCTTAGACCCGAGTCGTATTTTCTTGAATTTTTTAAATCGCCGGCTCAGGGGGCTTAGTTATATTTCAAATTGCTAAACATTGGAAGTATTTGGTGTATTATGTAATTACTGAACAAACCATTTGAACTGTAAAATAAAAAAATAAAAAATTGTTATTAGAGATCCTATCATGAATATGACAATAGAGGAGAATATATTACTAGGACAGAAAGTCAGGTAACGAGAGTATTTTTCAAGTTTTTTTCTTTAAAAATAACATTTTTTTAACCATTGTCAAGCATGGGATTGTATAAATCCACTGATCTCATTCTTAAATAAAATATATTAGTGTACTTGTTACGAAAAGCTGTTGTCCTTTTTGTTCATCAATAAAAACATGGAAAAAATTATATTTTTCGTTATAGTTTCAGAGTTTTGATATTTTCGAATTTTAGAGCTTGGGAAAGTGTAGTGTCTCAGGTGTGGAAGAGAAATACAGAAACCGGGGTAACATTTATTCATGGGTCTTTAAATTTACATTATACAAGGTCTTACAAATCCAATAGTGGATTCCAGAGACTCAGATTTAGTTTCTTAGACATTAAAATCAATTACAGTTTAATACAAAACTTCTGAGACATTGAAAGATTTTACAAAATGTTGTCTTGACAATTTTTCAATGGGGTTTAATACTTTTATACTTTAATCTCAGTAATTGTAAAAATTAATAATTAGCCATTAAATATGCTATACATAAACATATTACATACATATTACATACATATTACATGCATATATTAGCTTAAAGTGTCTGATCTAATGCATATGGTGCAAACAAACACCAAGGAACATGTATAAACAATTGTTTTTTTTAATTACATTATTAATAAAGATAATAATAATAAAAATAATAATAATAATAATAATAATAATAATAGTTATTGTACAGGCTGATGTACTGTACAAGAATCCTGGCGGATTAATTCATGAAGCAGAAATCAGCAAAGAAGGAGTTATTTCTAGCTCTACAGATCCATCTAGTAATATTCTAGTTAATGTCCTAGATACCCAGGTAGAGATATTTCTAGCTCTACAGATCCATCTAGTAATATTCTAGTTAATGTCCTAGATACACGGGTAGAGATATTTCGAGCTCTACAGATCCATCTAGTAATATTCTAGTTAGAGATATTTCTAGCTCTACAGATCCATCTAGTAATATTCTAGTTCATGTCCTAGATACCCAGGTAGAGATATTTCTAGCTCAACAGATCTATCTAGTAATATTCTAGTTAATGTCCTAGATACACGGGTAGAGATATTTCTAGCTCTACAGAGTTTTTTTTTCCTATTTCAGGGAATCCTTCAGCAACGAATATGCTGTACAACTCTTTTAGCAATAGCTGTGCGTATGTTTGGAGGACCTAAACACCAGTTCTTTCCAGATGATCAGATGTAAGTCGACATTTTCATTAATACATAAATATACCAATAAACCTCTTTTCATCCCTATTTTCTTGGTTTTTTATGCGCCATAACATTTCTGAATTGTTTAGAAATAATTAAGCATTTATTTTTGAATAAGTCTATTTTTATAAATTATATTTTCCTGTAATTTTAACTGAAAAACACTCTAAAAAGAACAGATTACTCGCCTCAAGCTTTAATTTTAAGAGCAGCAATTCTGGATTTTTAAGTAACTTTAAATCTAACAATCGTATTTCGTGCAATTATATCTGCACTTTTTCAGGGTGAAGGATACCTTCTACTTGAAGTACAGTTACCTGCTCCGATCTCCGTGGGCTCCGACCTTAACGGAGGAGAACATGGTGATCTCAACGATGAAGGAGACAGGATACCTCCTCGGGCCAGATAGGGTGCTAGAGGTTGAAAACATTTTAAAGGGAATTATAAAGGGCGTGTCGGAAAAAAACTTAAAGAGGGGTAAAGGCAAAATCCGAATCAAGTTTGGATTAAATCTCTACTAATTTTACTTCTTTAACCCTATCCCCGCTGGGGTACTTGAAAACCAGGATACGCTGGGGGGGGGTCAATTTGACCCCCCCCTCTAAATCCCATGTTTTATGTCCAAATATGACAAATGATACATCATTAGAAAGCTCTTGTGCTCTACTTTTAGAATCTGCAAAAAAATTTGCAAATTTGCGAAAATTGAATTTTTTATCGCAAAATCCAGTTTTATAGTAAAAAGGTTTGCAAAAAAAAATTTGTCCAAAAAATGACAAATTATACATTTTTGAAAAGCCCTTGACCATGCCATTTCAAATATGCAAAAATTTTTGCAAAATTTTAAATAACCTGATTTTTAATCAAGAAAAACTAAAAATGTGCAAATTTCCTTTGACAGGTTGTTTGCAAAAAATTTGCAATTTTTTTTTCGCAAAACTTGTGCAATCCGTTTCCTTATGTCATAGGCTTTCCAAAAAACTAAATTTTATCAAAATCTGACAAGTGAAAGTGGGTCAAAACAAAGATTTAGTTTGCTACAGGCAAAAGCAGTAATTCAGGCAGTATGCCTGAGGACTCAGGCAGTTAGTATTAAAGCCCGGTTTTAGGCCTAAAGGGAGGGCTTTGGGTATGTAAGAAAAGTCAGAAAATTTCAACAGCCTCAGACCAATACTTTTTGAGTTATGTAAAAAAAACTACAGGGGGGGGTCAAATTGACCCCCCCCCAGCGGGAATAGGGTTAACGTGAAAAGGAGGAAATCGTGGAACAAGGATTTAACAAAATATGCTTGATGCGCAGCATTCTTCGTCATTGCGCTCGAGTGATGATTAATTAATTGAAGATGTCGTCTTCGTCACAACCATGAAAGAAACAATTTTAAAGGGACTCTTAACAAATTTTAAAGGATTTAACAGCAAACCTTAATATAGGAATCTGTACCACAACTATTAACCTTTAGCTTTAATAGTTATTAGTTAGGGTGCTAGGGAGGTTTAAACAAAAATTGAAAAAGTTTGTCGAAAATTCTTTTTGCGACAAATGCTTAATGTCTTTTTTCAAGTGCTTTTTAAAATTAAAATTTTTAAAAAAAAATATAGTTTTTATTCACGGACCGGGTTTTCAACCGTCTTAAAAACTGCTCTGTTTAAAAAAATCTGCATACTATAGTTTTGTTAAATTAGAATTTTTATTAAACTGTTTAATTCTTTATTTTTAGGTTCTTTTCACTAACTGCTTGATGGTTGGCTTCAACATGGATTCTAACCAGGTTTATATTGTTATTATTATTATTATTATTA